ATGATGTGTCGTTGGGGATATGCATCACTGGGTGCTGCAGTCTTCAAGCAATGGGTGAGAATGTGCGAACAGGGCCTTTTTCTCTACAGCCCTTTAGGTGGAAAGAAAGTGACGGGGCCTCTAAGAGTAATTACCAGACTCCCTCGAGGTCTCATGCAATGCCGTCGGTGGTCCCCTGCATTGTCCGAGCGCCGCTTGTCTCGCTGATACGGCTTCCCTTAATGTTCCTCCTCAGCGAAGGCTTCTGCGCTGTTGCTTCGGATAGAGCTGCCTTTTGTTTGCAATTTCACCAGCTGAGAGAGTCTTTTAGGAACAAAGGGAGCGAGCAAGCTGCAGAGGCCGCTGGAAAGATCTAATCTGTGGCTAAGACCACCCCTTGACTGACAGCGTGCACCACCATCAGCTGTATGCCCCATGAACACTTTCTCATTTCAGTCAGCTGTCTTTGCCTTCTCCCTCATTAGCGCTGATGAAAAGCGACAGGCTGCAGCAGACGCAGAGCATTCCTCAGCATACCATCTGCAGCTCCGGCCGAAGGCTTCCAATGGGCTTTCTCATCATTTATTAGTTCTGTCAGCCTCTGCCTCTCACACACCCATACAAAGATGGCCGCCATCATGACAGAAACCAAGATTTGTAACGGCACAACTCCTGCAAGGAGTTTCAGAGCACTGCCCTGACGCTGAAGTATTCCATAAATTGCTGTGCTCAACTATAGCTTTCTCATTCTTAATGCCAAATGAAATTATTTGCCCTTTGCTGCAATCCAGGGACAGGAGCTGTAAGAAATGTTACAGGCTCCCAGAAGCAATGTTTATGGTACCAAATACAAAATGGAGGCCAACAACCTATATCAATTTCACAAGAAACATTCCGTGCTTTTATTGAAAGATTGACATTTCAGGTTTTCCTCTTCTCAAATCCACTTTCTCACATAACAAAAAAACAACAACTTTCTCACTACCCACTAACAATATGAAAACTTTTGAAAATCAAAGGGATGACTGCTTCCCTGAATGATGGGAGGTTGCATATCCCAATGTTCCCCATCTCAGAACTACTCCTCTGTGCCCTTGCCCCTTCCTACACTCCTCACCTGCACCCATCCTAGATTTGCTCTGCCTCCTTTCTTTTTCTGTGTTGCTCATATCCGTTGCCAAGAAGAGAGCACTTGAAGCACTTCATGGCTTTATGGGCTGTTACTGTTCCCCTTCATGTGTTGGTGTGTTGCTGGTTTCTGCCACTTGTTTCGCCTAGCTCTGTAACTCTGTAGATCTGTTATTATAAATTTATTTTTTAGCATAGACATGAAGAACTGTAAATATAGGTGCTGGGTTCCTGCATTCCATTGTGTTCCACAGCCTCTTTTTCCCAGCTGCTGGTATGGCTGCCATACATAGGAGCCAACTCCTAGGGGCTGTGGGGAATTCAGCCCCCACAATAAAAATATTTGAGGGGGCCAGGTCCCCACAAAGTTGATGGGCATTCCCATTCAAATGGTGTCGGTGCACTGCGTCATGTGATCAATTATGCAGGGCGGGGCTTACCTGGGCCCCCCACAGTATTTTATTTAACTTGGCACCCCTACTGCCATAGAAACCTTTTTACTACCTATGCCATGCAATAACTACCAGCCCTTGCCATGATAACCCCTCCCTTCCTCCCAGTGCCTGTAAAGAAAGGGAAAAGCCTGTGCAGAACCAAAATGTATTCTGGTTTTCTGGAAATGCAGCACTGGAGTATTGTTGAGGGAAGGACTAAAGGAAATATGGTGCCTGCTCTGTCTTCCTCTCTTCCACTAATGCACATGCGCCGGCAAATATGCAAGGGAGGGTAGATTATGGGGCCGTCTACAGGCGGACCATGGGAGGGCTAAGCAAAAAGCAGCACTCAAAACAAAATGCACTATATAAAACAACGGAAGTGTTGACCTGTTTAATTGATAAACACAGTGTTATGTGAATCATTAACGAATCAGATAGGCATGGGTGTTCAGAGGTTTGGGAAATGGATTTTCCATTGTGGTGTGCGTGAGCCATAGAATGCTCTCAGTAAGTCTGTGAGATACGCAGAACGCTTCCGTCTTCTTCACTGGAGTCTATTAGTAGTGTTCAGTAGAGGAAGTAAAACACTAGATATAAGAAAATAGAGGCAGGTTCTCAAAGTGCCCAGTGAAAGTTTAGGTAAAGGTAAAGGGACCCCTGACTGTTAGATCCGGTCGTGACCGACTCTGGGGTTGCGGCGCTCATCTCGCTTTATTGGCCGAGGGAGCCAGCGTACAGCTTCTAGGTCATGTGGCCAGCATGACTAAGCCGCTTCTGGCGAACCAGAGCAGTGCACGGAAATGCCGTTTACCTTCCCACCTGAGTGGTACCTATTTATCTACTTGCACTTTGACATGCTTTCGAACTGCTAGGTTGGCAGAAGCAGGGACCAAGCAACGAGAGCTCACCCTGTCGCAGGGATTCGAACCGCAACCTTCTGATCGGCAAGTCCTAGGCTCTGTGGTTTAACCCACAGTGCCACCCACGTCCCATAAGTAAGGTATACATTTCCATAATATACACAAGCAGTTTGGGACTATTTGTACATAACACATAATAAGCAATGCACTAACAGAAGCTAGCGCAATGAGTCCTGCTAGTGACTCCCTACCCTCTCCCACCCTGTACCCTCCCCCAATCTGTTTGGGTGAGTCAGGAAAACCCCAGGACAACACAGAGGGGGGAGATTGTTCTGTCTGGAAGTAGAAATGCTGGCACTGATGGAACGATCTCCTTAGTGTGACATTGAATTCCACCCCAAGAGTCTAATATGTTCTCAACTATCGAAGAATGGCAGATGAAGATGATGGACTATATGTAAAATGCCGAACTGACCGGGAGACTCCGAGACGAGAGAGAAGAGATGGTGGAAGAAGATTGGAAGAAGTTTAAGGAATATTTGAAAAAATATGTTAATATTTAAATCTTAGAATAGCTTTGGAAGTGGATATAGGCTGTAGGGTTAGAAGTAGAAGATAGTGTATTTTAAAATAGTATTATTTGTAAGTGATAAAATGTGAAGTTATTTTAAGTGTGATTAAAAAAAGATGGTTAGAAACTATGATATATGTAAACTGCTAAAGATGAAGTAAAATGAAAATCAGATAGGTGGGACTTGGGGAAGCCCACTTAACAATGTTTAGAAAATAAGGATATGACAAGAATTTGTTTGTATTGTTTATTTTTCTGTTTGTGTTCTTTATTTGTGTTATAAAGTGAATACAAATTTTTTTGGGGGAAAGAGTCTAATATGTTCTGATGCACATATTAAGGGACGTATTCCACTAAGGTTTACTCAGAGTCAGCCCATTGAAATTAATGGGCCTAACTTGTGTTCATTAATTTCAGTGGGTTTGCTATGACTAATGCTTTATTGAATACCACCCATAATCTGGGAAATGCATGTCGGGTTGCAGAAATCTAATTCTGCAAACATCCCTAGTAAGACCTTAAAAAAAAAAAAATCCACACAGGAGTATATTTTTGTGCTCTGGTATTTGCAGGCAGTGGGGAGGAAGCAAGTTTTATGGGAATGAAAGGGTGGGTTCCCCCTCCCCCATCCTGGTGATGGATAAAGAATGTTTGGCTTTGTCTTGATCATAGCACAGGAAAGGGAAATGTCTGATTTCTAGCCTTTCTGAAAGCTGTTCTGGACCCCTGGTTGACACAGGATAACAGGAAAGAAGCCACATTGACCCCCCCAGTTGCTGCAGGACCCTGTGAGTTGCCAAACAGGAACATAGATACAAGAAAAACAAACAAATTATGCTTAATGTGTGTTACTAGGTTTTCGTTCTCTGCGTGCTTAATTTGAGTTCTTCTCTTTCCTTCTTTGTAGTGCAACTCGGGAACCACTAGGAATCACAGTCATACAACCCTTCTGATCTCTCAAATGTTAATGGATCTATGCAGCTCCCCTGGCCCTCATTGCGCTAAACTCCTATCCTGCTTTCTCTCCACCTGTGGCATGGTGGAAAAGCATCATCAGAGGCCACATGGTCTCCTTCCAGTGCATTTGCACCTTGCTGACCTCCACGCACCCCTCCCAGTAAACAACAGCCACCCACCTACTAGGATGTCAGCATAGCAGGTCTGCCTTACCAGGGAAGCCACTTCTGTTTATGTCCAAACATTCTGACAAAGTGACACGAAGGAAGAGAGAACATCCAGCTTCTCTCTGCTCCTGCTGCTCTGTGTTCCAATGACCAGTCTCTGCAGCCTTACACCAGGGTAACATTCCCACTAATAGCAGGCTCAGGTTGTATAAGCTGAGAAGAACGGAACCACAGCAGGACCACTGAAAAACAAGAGGGAGGTATCAGCATGTTCAAGGAAGTCACGCCCCACCCCCGAAAAACCATTTCAAATAAACTTAAGAGAACAACCCTAGAATAAAAAGAAAAGCATAGTCCCTTAAAGAATGAGCATGCTCAGTAGCCACAGAATGTCAAGTGTCAATCAAGGAGGAGAATGGAGAACCAGAAAGGGGTGCAAAAATGGAATGGGCTGCTAGAGAAGGGCATGATGGCTGGATGGCTGGTTACTTTAAGATGAGAACTCTTGCTAGGAGGAGAGACTATACTGCACCATTTAATTGCAGGTCCCTCTTGGAATCTTGGATCTGCACTGGAATTGTTAGGAACACCAGTTTGTATCCGAGGATCCCAGAAGCTGCACCAGAACCAGCAGCGACTTCTGCAAGCTGGCACACATGGGGCGCGGGGGACACATGTGCAACTCCATACAGTAATGAAGCCTTCTTGAGTGGATCTAGCTGCCCATGAATCACATACAGTCCACAAAAGTCAAAGTGCATGGATAGACCTGTTGAAATAAAGGTCAAAGCAAAACAATGGCCCGCAAGATGACTTGGCTGTACAGTATAGGCTTTCAGTATACACAGTCAACTGTAATGTATACATTGTAAACCCTGGAGAAACGATTGACTTCCCCTGCACATAATAGATCTGATGAGTGTGCAGGAAATCTCTCTGCCTTGTCCTTTCCTATGTTATAATTTTTAGAATTTTAATCTTTTTTCTTTTTCTTTTTTAGCAGAACATTCTCAAAAAGAACAATACATGGCCACAGTGACAGGTTGGAGGTTTATTTGTTTGGTGCTTGTGATTAATGTTTTCCAGTTAGATAAAAGTCTATTCAGAGAGGCTGTGATTGAACTAATCTAGTTAGTGGCATGGGAAGATTTAAATGAATAGCATTGGTCAGTCTTGTACACAGACGAAATCTTCTGGGCTCTATGCAAAGGAAACAAGAAACAAGAAGAATTTGCACGTGGGACACATGGGAAAGAAAATATTCTAGTTTAACCACATGCAATTTAAGAAGATTCATTTCCTGGTAACTAATTAGGAACATGCACAGCTGCATCATATTAATTCAGACTATTTCTCTGTCTAGATCAGTATTGTCTATCCTCCAGGCCTCTCCCTGGTTCACAGAACGCTTCCCAGGCCACATCCAGTATGTCCAGGTCAAACCCCACCCCTGGCCCTGCTACACACACACACACACGTGTTTTTGCCTGGCTGGAACATGTCCTTGATTGTCTACATGGAGGTTAGAAAGGGACGTGAAAATATGTGTAGAACTGCTGTACCCCTCCCATCCGTCAGTATTCCATGGAAACTGAGCATGCTCAGACTACGTTGTGCTGGGTTTTTAGGAGGAGGAACCTCTTCTTAGGATTTCTTTCTATATATGTGTGTGTGTGTGTGTGTGTGTATGTGTGTGTGTGTGTGTGTGTGTACACACACACACACACACACACACACATATATATATAGACACACACACACACACACACACACACACACACACACACACACACACACACACACACACACACACACACACACACACTGTACAGGTATATGGAAAGATCTGATCTGATCCCTCCTTCTGGTTTCCCTCTGTACTAGATTATAAGATGTAATACACACACGTGGCCAGTAGAGGGAACCTGATCAGTAGCGGATGCTTCTCTACATTCAACGAGGAAACGTGAGTATAAACTGAAATTAGAGAACCTGAAAGAGCCAATTTCAACTTCTGTTTTCCCCGGAGGATATCCCAGGGCATACCGGAAACAACTGGTTCAGTCCATATCTGACCTTTGGCGGTATTCCTGATTAGAGCACCTCTGGTTTTGCCTTGGAAAAGTCAGTAGTACAGTAGGTCTGCAACTTACTGTGGGGGTTACGTTCCAGGGAATCACGCCTAAAGCCAAAATCGCATCTAGTCAAGACTATATGTGATTTTAAATGGTGGGTGAGAATATAAAAGTCATTTTCCCCAGAACCTCGGCCCTTTCCCACCTGCTTCTAATTTTTTGTTTGAAATTTCCACCTGTGGAAAGCTAAATGTGCACAAGTTGTGGACTTGCTGTATCTCATGACCAATATCATTTGGGTCTCAAAACTCTTGCAAAGCCAGCTTACACAAAATTAATTAATTACATGCAACCATCCACAATAAAGAAAAAGTACAAATCAGTCATTCCAAAAAGCTAAAAAAAAAAACCCAACCCTTAGCTTTCCCATAAATAAACCATTCAGCATTTTGCCTCCCTCTGATTCCTGAAGAAAGAAAAAAAAGTTATCATGGTTATAACAGCAGTGTGCCATATTTTCAAATGCTATTCTGAAACTGGAACTTGGCATTGTAATTCTTTTCTTTTCTTTCTTTCTTTCTTTCTTTCTTTCTTTCTTTCTTTTTTGTAGAAATCTTCCTCTGATACTACTGACATCAGTTGGGGGAGGCTACTCCTTCATATCCAAGCCCATTCCTCCTCTAGGACAGATTGACCAATTTGATTTCCCAATTTCTCTAGAAAATGAAAATTTTCTTCTGGATTTGTTCAGCCAGAGCAACAGAGCACTTACATCCACTTTAATTGTGCAAACTTATATGGCTGGCCACATGACCCAGAAGCTGTCTGCGGACAAACGCCAGCTCCCTCAGCCTATAGAGCGAGATGAGCGCACAACCCCAGAGTCGGTCACGCCTGGACCTAATGGTCAGGGGTCCCTTTACCTTTACCTATATGTCTGGTATGCAAATGAATCCCTCCTGCAAAATACAGACAGTCTGGAGGCAGCCTCAAATGTTTGTTTGCACTGTGAGGCATGCAGTTAATTAGGACTGCTTTACAAAAACATGTGTCGCCCATCTTAGCCTTCTTAAATCAATCGATAAGATATCACAACATGAAGTAAGCACTTGCTACAGCTAACTGGAAACTTAGAGATGCTATTTTGCCCACCTCTGATAAGCCTTTTATTGAGCTCTGTTACACTCACATCTTTGCAAAAAAATAAAAATAAAACCAAGATCTGTCTCACTTCATTTAAGAAAGGTTAGTGGGTGACACATTGACTCATGGCCAGAACTTTATCTTCTGTCACCAGTGCTCAGTGTCCTTGGAAATCTGCTGTCAACAACTCCAGAAATTGGGGAGGGGGCCCAGGGAGGAGAATTTGCACAGTAAAGTCTGGCAGGATGCCAGTTAGGAAGTGTTAAACGAGTTTGCTGTGAGCACTTTCTGCAACCACATGCATTTGGGTAGCCTTTGCTATCTAAGGTCAGGTTTCACATGCTCTCCATTCATTGCCTGCTTTGGGAGAAGGTAAAAAGGATATATTTTGAATGGCACTCGCTTTTGTCTAATAATGCGGATGAACTGAGCACAGCAGAATTTTGTAAAATTGTGTTGCTACGACATCAACATTTATGAGCAACTATTTTTCATCATGGCGAAACACTTGGCATTTTTATTTCTCATATCATCTTTAATTACAAATTCCATCACTTTAATGAAAACAGCTGAACAGGTAAGTAGTGTGCTTTGTTTTCAGATGACGATACCAGAGTTTTTCATAAGGATCCATACTGGATGCCTATAGAGAAAGGAGGAGTAGTTATGGATAAACCTGTTGGCTGGTATTCAACTAACTTTTACTCGCAGTAGGCTCTCTGAAATTAATGAACATGATGAAGTTAGGTCCATTAATTTCAATAGGTTTTCTCTGCTTAGTTGACTATCTCCCATAAACACACCTACAGGCGAGAAATTGAGTTTGAACAGGTACAGAGTAAAACAGGCAGAGGACTTGAGCCTGATCTCTGAGACAGATTTTAGAGCTAATCTTGGACTCTCTTGGCTATTAAGCTCTGAAATGTTGATGTATCCGTTCTCTCCATGAAAGAGATTTGGGTAACTAAGGCTATGCACTTCTTTTGAAGAAAGTGCTGTTGTGCATAATGGGGCTTACTTCTGAGTGGACATGCATAGGATTTACTGAGAAGCAGTGGGTTTTTTCTGGGGGGACACAGGGGGACGCATACCCCTAAACATCTAAGTTTGGCCTCATTGAGGAGCAGTATTTCAATATGAGTAGGAAAACGAGAGTACCCCTAAACATTTTTTTTAGGGAAAAGGCACTGTAGAAAAGTAAAGTTTCCCAAGGAGCTGGGGTTCTATGTCAGTTTGGGTTCTCTTGGCTTCTACTTTTTCTAGCCTTAAATCCAGCTCTCCACATTTCTGCAGCAATTTGCCATTATTTAAAATTTAAAAAATCATGACGAAAATTCCTTAGCAGATTTCTCCTAACGAACACATTTTTGCATGCAGTTTTGACTAAAGTACACGTTTTGCAAGTTTTACGGTCTGCCCATGAGCACCTGGTTGGCCACTGTGAGGAAAAGATGCTGGATTAAGTGGGCCTGTGGCCTCATCCAGCACAGGGCTCTTTCTAAGGTTCTTAGTTTTCCTTCTGGAGCCAGTGGCTTCATGAGCACATTTTTATTTTTTATTTGGTCAGGAAAACAGCACAGAAAGATTGTTAAAACCTCTTCTCCCCTGCACCACATTCCCAGTCCAAGGTCTATTCTTTAGCCAATGCTATTCTTTTTGTGAACAAATTAAAAGGCACACAAATGTAACCATGCATTTAACATGCCGTTTAGTTTGGCTCTCAGAGGCCTCAGGGCACAATGGGAGGGAAAAGTGCTGCTGTTCTATTAAGCTCAGCATTTAAGGCATTGTTATTATTCTACCTCCTCCGCTGACTGTAGACTTCTTTGACTTCATACATATTATTTGACTCTCTCCACTAACCCTGAGCCTCTACTAAATGATTGCCTGGAATAGGCCAGAACCACTGTTAAGGTTAACACACCCAACTGCTGCTGAAAACTCTATTATGACAATAGGTGTGAATGTGGGCAGCTCTAATTGCCTTAATTCTGTTTTCCCTCACTTCGCTCTCAGGCAAAGAACAAATGTGACGAGAAGGCACTTGTTACCACAAAAACCAAATGCAGGTCTTGTTCCCTCAACTATGAAATCAGATGTCCTGAAGGTTATACCAAAATCACCAATAGCTCTGGGATACGGGACTGCAGGTAATTCTTTTGTTAACTACATATTAATATTGCCAATAAGTGTAAGTCCCATTCACACAACACATCTGTGGATACTATATGGGATGTAAAAGGCACTATGGTCTAAACCACTGAGCCTCTTGGACTTGCCAGTCAGAAGTTGGCGTTTCGAATCCCCACAACGGGGTGAACTTCTGTTGCTCTGTCCCAGCCTCTGCCTACCTAGCAGTTTGGAAGCAAGTAAATAAATAGGTACCGCTGCAGCAGGAAGGTAAACAGTGTTTCCGTGCACTCTGGTTTCTGTCACGGTGTTCCGTTGCGCCAGAAGCAGTTTCATCATGCTGGCCACATGACCTGGAAAGCTGTCTGTGAACAAATGCCGGTTCCCTTGGCTTGAAAGCAAGATGAGCGCCGCAGCCCCATAGTCACCTTTGACTGGACTTAGCTGTCCAGGGGTTCTTTACCTTTTACCTTTACTATATGGGATGGCACCTGCTTGCCCTGCTCCTCAGCTTCAAATCCAGAGAGGCCCTAAAGCTGTTTCTCTTCAAATGTTTGCTACATATACAACAAACACATGTGCCACAGACTGGTGCACCACAATGGCAGGATCTGCATGTGTTTGTTACACAGATTGAAAAGATCCTCATGCATACAACTTCACGCACAGATCAGGTCTCCAATATGCAATAGGGAACATTCGTATGTGCTTTTCAAGGCTCTGAAAGGTGTAGAGAAGAGGCCCCGCTACACAGGTGCAGCTGAGTGCAGGGTGTGTGGGTGTGGGTGTGTGTGCATTCAAATATCATAATGAAAAAACCTGTGTTGATGGCTGAGCCAATCACGATTCCCCCCTGCATGGTCGTTGCATAAATGCAAACAAAGAGCCCCTGAAAATGTAGTTAGCTGAAGTATGGAATGTCTCAAGGATGGCTAAGCTATTAGGATATGTTAAGGAAAAGACAGTATGTTTCTATGAGAATTGCAGGCCCTTTATTAAATTATTGGGAGTAGGGCCTGCCCGTGTGGCGTTGTGAGGCAGTCACCTCAGGGTGGCAGGCTCTGGACAGGACGGCTGTCCATCCACTGTGTTTCTGCTGGCTGCTCCTGCCACCTGCTCCCATTCTTGCCTTCTAGGCTTCTTTTACTTCCCGGGCTGCTTCCAGGCAGTGCCTGCTGAGGAGGTGGAGGAGGAGGCAAGGTGTGACATTTTCAGTTTCATCTGGAGCAGCAAAACATCCTGCCTTTTTTTCCCCCCTTGGCCATTAGAGCTTTGAGGAGGGGGACCGCAAGTTCCACAGGTGCAATTTCTCCCGTCAAGTTGATGAGGAAAAGTGCACCTGCTGAATGTTGCACTCTGTCATGATCATGGATTTTAAATGGCCAAATATCTTCCCTAACATCTGACATCTTACACAACAGCAATGGCCGCCTTGTGTAGGAGTGAGAACCTTGCTAAGAATCCAGTGAAAAAGAAGAGCTGAAAGGAGGTTAAGACAAGACTTAAGACAAGCCCTAAACGGCCTTGGCATAGTACAGTGGTACCTCGGGTTACATATGCTTCAGGTTACATACACTTCAGGTTACAGATTCCACTAACCCAGAAATATTACCTCAGGTTAGGAACTTTGCTTCAGGATGAGAACAGAAATCGTGCTCCGGCGACACGGTGGCAGCAGGAGGTCCCATTAGCTAAAGTAGTGCTTCAGGTTAAGAACAGTTTCAGGTTAAGAACGGACCTCCAGAACGAATTAAGTACTTAACCCGAGGTACCACTGAGGTACTTAACCCGAAGGTACCACTGTACTGTATACTTGAAGGAGCATCTCTAGGCTCATTCAGCCTGGACACTGAGGTCCAGCGCCAAGGGCCTTCTGGCGGTTCCCTCACTGCGAGGTTACAAGGAACCAGGCAGAGGGCCTTTGCGGTAGTGGCACCCGCCCTTTGGAACGCCCTCCCACCAGATGTCAAGGAAATACTGACTTTTAGAAGATATCTGAAGGCAGCCCTGTTTAGGGAAGTTTTTAATGTTTGATGTTTTATTGTGTTTTTAATATCCTGTTGGAAGCTGCCCAGAGTGGCTGGGGAGGCCCGGCCAGATGGGCGGGGGTATAAGTAATAAGTTGTTGTTGTTGTTGTTGTTGTTGTTGTTGTTGTTGTTGTTAGACTTTGAAAATAAGGGCAGAGAGTTTGTGTAAAGAGGCCAGTAGAGGGATGAGTGGCAGCTTAATAGTGGCATGTAGGAAACTAACTTTTACCCAGAGTAGGGGTTTGAAAGAAGGCAGGGGTGATTCCTGCCAAACCTCTACAGACAGAGAGTTCCACAGGGCAGGGCTGCCATGCTAAAGGCTCGGTCTCTAGTGAAGGCCAACAAAACCTCAGGAATGTGGGAAACCAGCAGAAGTGGCCCATGAGAGGCACTTTTAAAAGGTTAAAGCCTTTTTAGGGATTCAGCTGTTAACTGTGTAACTTTAACAAAACCCCAAATCCTTTTCTTCCAGGTACTACCTTGAAATCAGGAGTTTTACTCTCTCCCTCCCTGGAT